AGTCAAGGAATCTTTATAGACCAGGCTTAATGTTTGGAAAGTTATAAGCATTTTTTATGCCACCAAATTTCACAGACAAACTGGCACCTATCAAATTTGGTTACAATAATAGCGTTAAATATAATAATCAAAAGAAAAGCTAAAAAGCTCCCTAGCTAATGCTAACATGCCTTTATTTTGATCAGAATTGCCTCCTCTGCCTCCAACCACGACCCTCAAACCCGGACAAACAACCACAAAAACCACCACCACCACCACTCATGCTCCAGGACCAGGATTCTGTAATGGAAAGCCAGATGGACTCTATCCTCACCCTGAAGACCCCAACAAATACTATAACTGTGTAGGAGGCCACACTTACATGGATAGCTGCGGTCCAGGCACTGTGTTTGATGACAGCTGTAAGTGCTGTGCCTGGCCCAAACACTAAGGGATCACTCATGTGAAAACAGTGAAACAGGACACTGCAGATTTGCATAAGCACACAAGAAGAATCAGAACTAAACATCTTTGACTACAACTATTTCACATAAAGGAAATTAGTGTGGACTGAACATAATTAATGTGCTTTATTTTTCCATTTGAATGTATTTTGAAAGTGTAGGATGCATGTTTTTTTAAACTCCCCTGTAAATCTATTCATGTGATTGCTGTTAGTACACTGCTGTACAATGAATCATTTATACAAATAAAAAAAAATGTGCACAACTTTACAAGATTTTTTAAAAACTCCTATTAATAAACAACATGCAGCCATCATTAACATTATTCTGGTTACATTTGATTACATCATCTTGCATTTGAAACAGAATGCATGGTGGGATCAATAAAAAACATATCAGTCGATTAGTGTTCTGTGATATGCTAGATGTTTTATCATCACTTTCATTACGTAGTGGACAAATATAAATAGTTTATTAATAAACAAAACTGCAATTTTTGCAAGAAATATTTAGTACTTATAACTGACTCACTGCAGATTTTCATATTAGAGAATTAAAATGACACATACATTACTTGATATGCTAAATTGAAGAAAAATTTTAGGAGGGGAGAAGAACAGTTGTTTAGTTTGTAGTCCAAAAACCAGGAATGGAATTAGCATTGTCCAGCCTTGGGTTTCCTCAAGAATTTTCTGTAGGTTTTTATTTTTTCATTTTGGACTCATGAGTAAATGAAAGTCTGCTGTAATATTACTTGAAAAGACTTTCACATTTCATATCAATAGACCATTTTCATATCAATCATATCCATATCAATGTTTCTAATACAAATGCTGAGGGAGTAACAGCAATTTTGACATCTTTCTCGTCTGACCTCCGTGATCAATCTCTTGATATCTCTTTTTTTCCCCTTTTGGTATGGCATAGAAACACTATCATGATTTTTTTTCTTTTGCTATTGGAGCAAATTGGAAAGCAAAAAATTTGTTATGGTTCCCACTCACCACTATAGAAGTTTACCAAACTATGAAAATTTCTGCCTCTGAGAATCCCAGAAATGTGATAAGGGTCCATTACAAACAGTCACACTTCAAGCATGAAGCTGAAAAATAATAATAATAATAAAATAAAAAATATCTAGACAGCACTATTAGAATAGAGACAAACAGAACGTCAGCTTAAAGGAAACAGCATGAAAATAAACTAAAATCCAACAAACCCAACAACCTCCCATGTAGACTGCTGATATGCTAAATATCATAAAGACTTTAAGTCATAAACCTAATTTGCTAAATGGGCCAAGTGGCATAGCTTACCCTTACAAATATGAAGTAATAAGCACCCTAGTGAGATTAATTTATTGCCTTTTACATCTTCAGTTTCTGACCTGTTTATGTAGAAACATGCTATTTATCTGGTATCCAAGACCTTTGATTATATACCTTGATAATGTGTTACTTTTATTGTCCATACATTCTGATGCCTTCCTTGTATCAGCCGATCCCATAAAATAACCATTGTTCGTTGAACCCTATATATATTATCGCTGAGTATGGAAATTACTTCATCTTCAAGTACAAAAAAAGTACGCTAGTACACTAGTTTTCATCATGAAGCGATGATTTAATTAGGTTTAATCTAAAGCAGAAAATGGATGTAATGAGTTGAGGTTTCTAACTAGTTTATTAGACATATTAATGTAGTCTAAAATATATGAAATAATTGAATTATGCCCGACACCCATATCTAAGTCATTTAATTACAATAAATGAATCCCCAAATGTATAGTAAGACTATTCTTTTGCATTTTTTCTTTTGTCTGTGGTTTCAGAATTTGTTGTGGATGTATAGGCTATATACAAAAAAGTGCCCAAAATCGCACGGGGTACAACAGCTTGTCACTGGAACAGTATACTCTTAAAAGGACATCTTTGTTCATTTTTTACCCCTAATAGGTAGGCCTACATATTAGTACCTTAGGGGTATGAATTACTACTCTAAGATACTAATATGTACCTATTAGGGGTAAAAAAAGGTACAAAGATGTCCTTTTAAGAGTACTGCTCTAGTGACAAGCTGTTGTACCCCAAAAGGTGCGATTTTGGTGACTTTTTTTCTGTGTGGCCCGGATGAATGTGAGATTTCCCGGCCTGAAATTGCGTCCCAGTCCGGCCCTGCCCCTGTCCACTGCCGAAAGTGCCAACAGTGGGCTTGTGAGCATCAGAACTGGACCACGGAGCAATGGAAGAAGGTGGCCTGGTCTGATGAATCACGTTTTCTTTTACATCACGTAGATGGCCAGGTGCGTGTGCGTCACTTACCTGGGGAACACATGGCACCAGGATGCAATATGGGAAAGCAGTGTGATGCTTTGTGCAATGTTCTGCTGGGAAACCTTGGGTCCTGCCATCCATGTGGATGTTACTTTGACACGTACCAC